ACCACACTGGGCTAACTTTTGTGTTTTTTGTAGAGACAGGGTTTTGCCACATTGCCCAGGCTGCTGTCAAACTCCTGAGCTCAAGTGATCCTCCTGCCTCGGCCTCCCAAAGTGCTGGGATTACAGGGGTGAGCCACCGCGCCAGACCTGTATTTTTAATTCTAAAATGCATTTTAGGTTAGGATTTAAAGACAATATGTTATATCTGCATGATGGCATTGCAAGTGACTGTCATTTTCTCTGTAATGTTCAATTTTTTTAATTTTTCTCTGACTACCACGTATTCCTTTTGTAATTTCAATTAGTGGCTTTTTTTTTTTGACAGGGTCTCACTCTGTCACTTAGGCTGGAGTGCAGTGGGGCTATCATAGCTCACTGTAACCTCGAACTCCTGGGCTCAAGTGATCCTTCCACCTCAGCCTCCCAAAGTGCTGGGATTATAGGCGTGAGCCACTGCGCCCGGCCTTCAGTGACGGCTTTTAAGGCACATGATACATCTTGCAAAATTGCCCTCCAGGAAAGTTCCACTGTTACGCACCTACCAGCAAGGTTCACTTTCATTTTTAAATTTCATCTCATTTTGTTTTAGTCTGCTCATATTTCTAATCTTGTTATATCCCTTTTTATTATTTCTTTGGGGTTCTGATGCCTCCCAATTTAGTGTTCTCGTTGAATTTCATTAACATCTGTTTCATTAGCAGTGCAGGCGAAGGATTAAAGTGTTAACTAGGATAGACTTTGACAAAAACCTATAAAAATGTATGTTATTATCTTTGCATAAATCCTATTTAATCAAAGTTCCCCAGAAACCTCGCACCAGGGCTTCTCTCAAGGGACGGAACTGGCCGCTGATGATTTTCTAGAGCATGGCATGTGGCTCTGTCTCAGTGGGAATGGTACATTCGTGATCTATCTGGATTCCTGTCATAACACGGTTTTACTGGGTTTCTGTGTCCTGTCACGTCCCATCAATTCACTGCCCATTGCTTTCACTCTTCAGCAACAAAGGAATCTGTCTCTTTTTATTTTACTTTATTTATTTATGTTTATTTTATTTTTTTATTATTTTTTTCTTGAGACGGAGTATCGCTCTGTCTCCCAGGCTGGAGTTCACTGGTGTGATCTCCACTCACTCCAAGCTCTGCCTCCCAGGTTCATGTCATTCTCCTGCCTCAGCCTCCCAAGTAGCTGGGACTACAGGCACCCGCCACCACGCCCAGCTAGTTTTTTGTATTTTTACTAGAGATGGGGTTTCACCATGTTGGCCAGGATGGTCTAGATCTCCTGACCTCATGATCCACCTGCCTCGGCCTCCCAAAGTGCTGGGATTACAGGCGTGAGCCACCGTGCCTGGCCGAAGGAATCTATCTTTAGTTTGGGTCCTTGATTAGACACACACCCACAATTTTCTCATTATGTAAAATATATACCAGAGGATGTATATTCTCAAAGTATTGTGAATGAATCTTTTTTTCTTTACTCGAATCCCAGTTTAAATGCACTAGGGATGGCCAGGCACGGTGGTTTACACCTGTAATCCCAGCACTTTGGGAGGCCAAGGCGGGTGGATCATGAGGTCAGGAGTTCAAGACCAGCCTGGCCAACATGGTGAAACCCATCTCTACTAAAAGCACAAAAATTAGCCGGTTGTGGTGAGCGCCTGTAGTCCCAGCTACTCGGGAGGCTGAGGCAAGAGAATCACTTGAACTCAGGAGGCGGAGGTTGCAGTGAGCCGAGATCATGCCACTGCATTCCAGCCTGGGGAACAGAGTGAGACTATGTCTCATAAATAAATAAATAAATAAATAAACAAACACACTAGGGATATTAGCAAGGTACCCTTTTGGTATAGAATCACTCCCTCTTTGTTTTAATACAAAATGTCACAGATTAAATTTGGTTGATGAGGTACATACATATTGTCACTTTCTGTTATCTCTACTAAATAGATGATTAATGCAAAATATTGAGTAATTTTTAAAAATCAATACTTAATTTTTTAGAAATAATTAGAGAGAGATTTAACTCTGACATAAATACCCACAGTGCCTGGGCCTACTTCTGTCAGAGGGTAATCTATAAATAATTCACAAAGCTGACATTACTCACTGTAGTGTGATCATTCTTTTCTGGAAAATTTTAGCAGTGGTTCTAATATAGATTGCCAGTTATCAGTAGTTGGCAATGCAAGTCCACTTTTAATTATGCACACGCTGATTATTCAGACTACAAATTGTCCATGCCCTGGCCGGCTCCTTCCTGCCACCTGCCTTTTAGCATTTTCACTGCTCGTTAGCACATACACCAGAAGGTGGGCATTGAACAAGGCGGAGAAGAAGAAACAAAATCAGTGAAGCACTTCGGAGAAGCTCTGATGAGAGATTTTAATACAATTTGTAGAATTATTAACTAGAATTGAGTCATTTGGATTCCCTGTGAAATGTGTTTACTTGTTCTATTCTTGTTCTCCTTAGCAACAGATAGTAGACTTGCCTCCAGAGAGACAACATTATTCCTATTATTCCTACATTTGGTGTTTTCCTTTATGAAACTTTTTTTTTTTTTGGAGACAGAGTCTCACTCTGTCGCCCAGGCTGGAATGCTGCAGTGCGATCTTGGCTCACTGCAACCTTTGTCTCCCAGTTTCAAGTGATTCTCCAGCTTCAGCCTCCCGAGTAGCAGGGATTACTGGTGCACACCACCATGCTCAGCTAAGTTTTTATATTCTTAGTAGAGACGAGGTTTCACCATGTTGGCCAGACTTGTCTCAAACTCCTGACCTCAAGTGATCCGCCTGCCTCGTCCTCCCAAAGTGCTGGGATTACAGACATGAGCCATGCACCCAGCCTATAAAACATTTTCATGTGATGGTTTTTTGTCTTGTGAGACAGAGTTTTGCTCTGTTACCCAGGCTGGAGTGCAGTGGTGTGATCTTCGCTCACTCAACCTCTGCCTCCTGGATTCAAGCAATTCTTGTACCTCAGCCTCCAGAGTAGTGGGGACTACAGGCGTATGCCACCATGCCCAGCTAATTTTTGTATTTTTAGTAGAGACAGGGTTTTGCCATTTTGGCCAGGCTACTCTCAAACTTCTGACCTGAGGTGATCCGCCCAACTCTGCCTCCCAAAGTGCTGGGATTACAGGCATGAGCCACGGTGCCCACCCTGGTGAGTGGTTTTTTTGAGATTCCTGGCATGTTCACAATTATTTGATGCTTTTTCCAGTTTTCCAGAAAACTGAATGTTTCCTCTTAGATACTAGTATCTTTTATCTTCCAACCTGTTTTGTTGGAAACATAATTTGCCTCATGCTTAAACTGAGGCTACTGAACATAATTGAAGCATTTCTGTATGCCCAAGATTATCTTTACTGTACATACTCCTAGGACAGATGGCTTTGACAAAAACCGGCACAGGTAGAGCCTCTGGCTAAGTGAAACGTTACAAGTGGACTTTTAAAATGCTAATTAGCCACCATGTTTTCTTTTCTCAAATGAACAAACTTTTTTTTTCTTTTTTTTTTTTTTTTTTTGGAGACAGGGACTCACTCTGTCGCCCAGGCTGGAGTGCAGTGGCGCGATCTCGGCTCACTGTAACCGCCACCTCCCAGGTTGAAGCAATTCTCCTGCCTCAGCCTCCTGAGTAGCTGGGACTACGGGTGCCCGCCACCACGCCCGGATAATTTTTTGTGTTTTTAGTAGAGATGGGGTTTCACTGTGTTAGCCAGGATGGTCTCAATCTCCTGACCTTGTGATCTGCCTGCCTCGGCTTCCCAAAGTGCTGAGATTACAGGCATGAGCCACCGCGCCCAGCCAAAATGAACAAAATTTTAAAGTAAACTACTATGGGCTTGAAAAGACCAAAAAAGAGGCCGGGCGCGGTGGCTCAAGCCTGTAATCCCAGCACTTTGGGAGGCCGAGACGGGCGGATCACGAGGTCAGGAGATCGAGACCATCCTGACTAACACGGTGAAACCCCGTCTCTACTAAAAAAATACAAAAATCTAGCCGGGCGAGGTGGCGGGCGCCTGTAGTCCCAGCTACTCGGGAGGCTGAGGCAGGAGAACGGCGTGAACCCGGGAGGCGGAGCTTGCAGTGAGCTGAGATCCGGCCACTGCACTCCAGCCTGGGTGACAGAGCGAGACTCCGTCTCAAAAAAAAAAAAAAAGAAAAGACCAAAAAAGAAAAAGATAATAAATTTTAACTTTTTTAAAATATTTTTTATTTTTATTTTTTTATGTTTTATTTTTTTTTTTCCAGACAGGGCCTGCTGTCACCCAGGCTGGAGTGCAATGATGCGATAATGGCTCACTGCAGCCTCACACTCTGGGGCTCAATTGATCCTCCCGCCTCAGCCTCCTGAGTAGCTGGGACTACAGATATGCACCACTATGGCTGGCTAATTTTTTTAATTTTTTTTTTTTTAGAGACCAAATCTAGCTGTGTTGTCCAGGCTGGCCTTGAACTCCTGGACTCAAGCAGTCCTTCTGCCTGAGCCTCGGGGTTACAGGCAGGAGCCCCGGTGCCTGGCCTGCTTAAATATATAAAGTTCGGGTTAGTAACTAGGTCACTTGTTCTATTAACCAGCCAAAGACCAGATAAACAAAAGCCTTTGGGCTCTAAAAGTCTTTGGGAAGTCACCTCGATAGGGGCTCTGGTTTCTGTGTTCTCCCTCAGGAACATCATGAAACTATCTAGAACGCTCCCTACTCTTCATTCCTTGTTTATTGCTTTTCTATAAGTTCTCATCTTTGGCTGTTTCGTGGTGTAGAGACACAGTCATTAGGCTCCTGTGGACTTGGTGTGGTTCATCCACTTTGCTTCCTGGGGACCGGAGCTTGCCGTGAGTCATGTTCCATCTGATTTATATTGGATCCGACTGTGGTGCCATGACTCACACGGGCTGCAGGCCTAGCTGCCCGGCTCATCTTCTGAGGAATAGACGGCGAGACCAGGGCTCATGTCCTGACACCTTTTTCCTTCTTTCCTCTTGCCCTGTCAGGATCTAAAGGGAGCATCGTTACCGACAGCAGGCAGGTGCGCCTTGCCACAGGCATCTTCCCTGTTATCAGCCTCCTGAACCACTCCTGCAGCCCCAACACCAGTGTGTCCTTCATTAGCACTGTCGCCACCATCCGGGCATCACAGCGGATTGGAAAGGGGCAAGAGATTCTCCACTGCTATGGTAAGCCATCCCTCCGCACTGCTGTCCCGCCCTTCTCCGACAGAAAAGGACCGGGGGACGCGAGTCAGCAAGCCACCGGGCGTGTGACTTCACCTGTCTGCTGTCTGCTTCCTGGAAGAGGCAGAGAACACTTAGGCCTAAAACAAGGAAGGGAGGAAGGAAGGAAGGAAGGGAGGAAGGAAGGGAGGGAGGAAGGAAGGAAGGGAGGAAGGAAGGAAGGGAGGAAGGAAGGAAGGAAGGGAGAGAGGGAGGAAGGAAGGGAGGGAGGAAGGAAGGGAGGGAGGGAGGAAGGAAGGGAGGAAGGAAGGAAGGGAGGGACGAAGGGAGGAAGGAAGGAAGGGCCTTCGTACTAGGGCTCTCTTGTGGCTAAACTATGTCTTGCTCTGTTTAATCACTATAAATGTCCTATTCTGAAAACGGGCTAGGAACAACTTCTTGGCTTCTGTGTCTTCCTGTCTCAGCAACTTGGAAGCTTATTTTAGTATCCAGTTCCACAAATGTCTGAGTAAAGGTTAGCTGTCACATGATAAGTAATTGTCCAGACCCTCGCTAAGCTGAAGGTTTTTAAGTCATGTTTGACTCTCTCTTGCTTTCAATATTGGCTGAGGGTGATCTCCCTCCAGGGCCTCACAAGAGCCGGATGGGGGTTGCCGAAAGGCAGCAGAAGCTGAGGTCTCAGTATTTCTTTGACTGCACCTGTCCAGCTTGTCAGACTGAGGCACACAGGATGGCTGCAGGGCCCAGGTGGAAAGCATTCTGTTGCAACAGTTGCAGAGCGCCCATGCAGGTAATTCTCTCCTCTCCCCTCTACTTTTCCCGGAGGTCAGTTTTCCAGCCCGAAGGTGATCAGTGTTTGGGAGGAAGCCGCCTCCATTGTAGCCAGTCATCCGCATACACTGCTTCCCCTCCAGAGAAAGCACAGGGAAAGGCTCCGTGTAGTGTCTCTCTTACAAAGGACGGAAAATCCCTTCAGAACTGGTGTGGGATTTGGGGGAGACTGGGAATCTATTTGCTCAAGTAAGTCATTGAAAAGTCCCAGGATAGGCCAGGCACAGTGACACTTGCCTATTATCCCAGCACTTTGGGAGGCTGAGGTGGGGAGATCACTTGGAGGCCAGGAGTTCGAGACCAGCCTGGGCAACATAGCAAGACCCTGTCTCTACCAAAAAAAATTTCAAGAAAAAAATTCCAGGATAAGGCTACTTAAGATACAGCTTGATCCAGGGGCTTTCTATCCACCCCTCTCAGCTTCATTTTTTCTGTGGTGGCCCATCCTCACACAGACTTCCCTGTAATGGTGCAAGAGAGCTGCCAGCAGCCTGCGGACCTCCTGCCAAGGAGGATAAGAGCACACGCTGCTCTAACAGCAGCCTGGGCAAAGATGCTACTGAGTTTCACTGACCTGAGAACTATGGCGACATAGTTTTCTTCTGGGCAAAGATGCTACTGAGTTTCACTGACCTGAGAACTATGGCGACATAGTTTTCTTCCAGCCATTTGGGCCAGAGAAAGGAGCTATATGTCACATGCCACACCCTCAGCTGTAGGGCACCAGCTGTGGGACTGAGGGTGAGAGGGATCCTCATGAGAAACTGGGTTGCTGTTGCTAAATGAGAAAATAGATATTGGCCTTTGAAACACAGCAGATATCCACCTCAGAGGTTTTCCCTCTGCCAGAGGTGCCGTATTCTTCTTAGGAGAGTCGTGAGTGGAACGCACAGCTGGTTGTGTTAGAAAGCTGAACTTGCAGACCCGAGGTCAAATGTAGGACAATCACACCTAACACCTTTTTCTGTTGGTTTTCTTTTTTTTTTTTCCCCTAAGATGGGGTCTCGCCCTATCACCCAGGCTGCAGTGCAGTGGCATGATCTCCGCTTACCACAGCCTCAACCTCCCAGATTCAAGCAATTCTCCTGCCTCAGCCTCCGCAGTAGCTGGGATTACAGGCATACGCCACCACACCCAGCTAATCTTTGTATTTTTAGTAGAGACGGGTTGGCCATGTTCTCCGTGTTGGCCAGGCTGTTCTCAATCTCCTGGCCTCAAGAGACCCACCCGCCTCGGCCTCCCAAAGCGCTGAGATTACACGCGTGAGCCCCCACGCCCGGCCTTTCTGTTGGTTTTCTTTTCTTTTTTTTTTTTTTTGTGAGACTGAGTCTCGCTCCGTCACCCAGGCTGGAGTGCAGTGGCGCTATCTCAGCTCACTGCAAGCTCCGCCTCCCAGATTCATGCCATTCTCCGACCTCAGCCTCCCGAGTAGCTGGGACTACAGGCACCCACCACCACCACGCCCGGCTAATTTTTTATATTTTTAGTAGAGACGGGGATTCACTGTGTTAGCCAGGATGGTCTCGATCTCCTGACCTCATGTTCCACCCACCTCAGCCTCCCAAAGTGCTGGGATTACAGGCGTGAGCCACCACGCCTGGCCTTTCTATTGGTTTTCTTAGGACTTTTTTATAACCACTAGAAATGTTCGTCATCTAAAGTCCTGGCCCCAAAAAGCGACGAGAGGGGCTATAGAAATGGAAAGAAATTGTGCACTATCCCCGTTCTGTTCCAAGAATGAAACCTCAGGTGGGGTCAGCTCCTGCCTTCATCAGAACTGCCGCCATCAAACCAAATTCTATCAGGCTTTGGTCGTGATGTGTTATTACAGGCGTCTCTCCTCCGTGAGGTAAGAAACCGTGGAGCAATCCTATAATGTGAGCACAGGCAATGTTGATAACCAACCCTGGCGTTGGAATAAAGAGAAAACTGACTTCCACAGGGAGATGGCATGCTGCGCTGTGGCAACAGATCTTGTGCAGAATCCGTCGTCAGCAGAGACCACCTAGTCTCTCGGTTACAGGACCTTCAGCAGCAGGTCGGAGTGGCCCAGAAGCTTCTCAGAGATGGTGAACTAGGTGAGACTGGCTCCCCGCTTTGGTCCTCCAGCCCCTTCCCTTTTATTCATTCTGATACCATTTTGGACTCAAGGATACTCAGTGCTGATGGAAGAATTGAATGTCATTATCCCCATGCCAGCCACAAGATGGCTATATAGGCCTGTGAGACCAAACCCTGACCAGCCCTGTTACTGTGGGGCCCTTGAAAAGGGGCCAGGTGATTTCGGCTGTTGTTTTCTTCTGCATCCGATTGCTAAGTTGAAGTACCCCTGCCAGCGAACGGGTCATCACTGACATCCGTGAGCTTCGTGCAGTTCCAGAAGTTCAGTGTCATTTATTTTAATTCCAGGGCCTAGCAACGTAACTTCCTAGAAGGGCGGTTCTGCCCTCCTCAGAGCTGGTCTGTGCTGGGGAGCAGTGGGGCGAGAGCCCAGCTGATAGGGGTGTCTTGCTCTTTTCAGAAAGAGAGTTGTGGAGCTCCCCATTGCCCTTGAAAACCCTGCCTTAGAGCTTGACGTCATGGGATTGTATTTACCCTGCTTTATGAAAGTTGACCTTTAGCTTAGATTTCAGGGTCAAGAGAAGTCATGGTCGTATGTGGAAGGTAGAGTTGGTCGAGTTGGCAAGTTGATGTTGTAAACCCAGGGTAAATGTGGGAAGGCCTCCCCTAGCGCCTTTCTCCACTGACAGAGAAAACATAAGAGAACGGCAGGTTTATTGGAACAGACACTGTGGGTTGGTGACAACCCAGGGAGGCCGAGGGGAATGTCCACGTTCAGCCCAGCTGATTCAGAGAATTTGAGACCTGGGTTCTCATTTCTAGGACTGGGCTTATGTCTGTAGTGAGGCCTCTTTCCTCTGAATTGACAGAGCGAGCCGTTCAGCTGCTGTCGGGGTGCCAGCGTGATGCCGAGAGCTTCCTGTGGGCAGAACACGCCATGGTGGGAGAGATCGCGGATGGTCTGGCCCGGGCCTGTGCTGCCTTAGGTACGGCGTCGACCTTCATGTTCTGCGTCAGGAACAGTCTGCTGTGGGTGTTTCATCGTGGCCCCGGCCTTGTCTGCCTGGTTACCCCAACTCTGTAAACTGACGCCGCTCCCCCTCTCATTCCGTTTTCTCACCCCAAAAATGTGCATCCGCAGTTGACTGTGGTTCTTTTCTGGAACAAGACTTTTCTCTTCTCACAGGGGACTGGCAAAAGTCAGCCACCCACCTACAGAAGAGTCTCCGCGTGGTGGAGGTTCGCCACGGGCCGTCCAGCGTCGAAATGGGCCATGAGCTCTTCAAACTGGCCCAGGTCTTTTTCAATGGGTGAGTCCTCTTCCCACCTCACAGGGCACACACTTCTTTTTTTAGGCTCTTCTGAGTATTACTTTTCTTCTATGGTGTTTTTAAAAGCATGTTGAAACTTCTTTATTTCCTCTTTAGGAGAGAGCTTTGCCTTCTGTTTTGCTAACAAACTTAACGCTTTAGAATTTCCTCCCGGGAGGCGGAGCTTGCGGTGAGCCCAGATCGCGCCACTGCACTCCAGCCTGGGTGACAGAGCGAGACTCTGTCTCAAAAAAAAAAAAAAAAAAAAGAATTTCCTCCTGGCAGATATGGGGAAAGCTTTTAGATCTCAAGTGAATTTCCCAGAGAGAACTTGGCCAGGCAGCCCCACCCACCCTCCAGGATAGTGTTCCTTCCCGTTTCTCTCGGGTTCATCACAGCCCCCTTGGCTGTCTCATTCCCAGCACTCTCAGCTCCAGGCTCTCTGCCTTCTCCCTACTCTGCATCCTGTTCCTTGTAAAGCATTTGCTTGAACCAGGGAATCAGGGCTGATTTTACCCCCAGACAACATGTGGCACTGCCTGGAGACTTTTTTTTTTTTTTTTTTGAGAAGGGGTCTTGCTGTCTTGCCCGCGCTGGAGTGCAGTGGCACGTTCACAGCTCGCTGCTTCCTCAAACTCCTGGGCGCAGGCAATCTCTGGAGACGTTTCTGATTGTCTGACTTGGACGGAGGTGCTACTGCCATCTAGTGGAAAGAGGCCAGAGGTGCTGCTGACCATCCTACAGGACAGTGCACCCCACCAGCCCCAGCAGAGGAGGGTTCAGCCCGCAGTGTCAATAGTATCAGGGTTGAGAAACCCTGCTTTTTTGTTGTTGTGATTTTTTGAGATGGCGTTTCACTCTTGTTGCCCAGGCTGGAGTACAACAGCGCGATCTTGGCTCACCACAACCTCCGCCTCCCAGATTTAAGTGATTCTCCTGCCTCAGCCTCCCGAGTAGCTGGGATTAGAGGCATGCACTACCACGCCCGGCTAATTTTATATTTTTTAATAGAGACAGGGTTTCGCCGGGCGCAGTGGCTCACGCCTCTAATCCCAGCACTTTAGGAGGCCGAGGCAGGCGGATCACAAGGTCAGGAGATCGAGACCACGGTGAAACCCTGTCTCTACTAAAAATACAAAAAATTAGCCAGGCATGGTGGCGGGCGCCTGTAGTCCCAGCTACTCAGGAGGCTGAGGCAGGAGAATGGCGTGAACCCAGAAGGCGGAGCTTGCAGTGAGCCGAGATCACACCACTGCACTCCAGCCTGGGCAACAGAGCGAGACTCCGTCTCAAAAAAAAAAAGGTTCAACCTAAGGCTATGAATGGTGAGTGGGCCTAAGGCTATGAATGGTGAGTGGGCCGATACCCAAGACTCAGAGACATTCTGTTTGGTCAGAGAGAGGGAAAAGGGCTGCAGAGTTAGGTCAGAGGTCAGCCCTAAGATGGTCACTCTAAAATGAACACTGCTGTGTAAACCTGTGGTCAATACCAGATGAAAACTTTGAGGCCGGGTGTGGTGGTGCACGCCTGTAATCCCAGCTACTCAGGAGGCTGAGGCGGGAGAACCACTTGAACCCGGGAGGCGGAGGTTGCAGTGAACTGAGATCGCTCCACTACCTGGGTGACAAGAGTGAAACTCCGTCTCAAAGAAAAAAACACTTTGAGATTTGCCTCTTGTTCTCAGGATGCTGGAGTCTATACTGTCTACTTTTTTCTCACATTCTGCTTTGCAGCGTGTTTGTGACAGTGTCTTACTGTTCTAGATTGTAAGATCCTTGATGACAGAAATGATCTTGTATTCTTCACGGTGTGTGAGTAGGCCCTCAATTAACATTTGCCTCACGAATCAGTGAACTAACTCCTCTTACCTCCCTTGGCTCAGGTTTGCAGTACCCGAAGCCCTGAGCACAATACAGAAGGCTGAGGAGGTTCTGTCGCTGCACTGTGGCCCATGGGACGATGAAATCCAGGAGCTCCAGAAGATGAAATCCTGTTTATTGGACTTACCACCCACCCTTGTAAGGTCTTCAGTTTAGGGTCCCAAGGGGATTTGGACCCATAGAAAAGGAGCCCGTGGAACACAAGGTAAAGAGGTTATGGCCGGGCGCGGTGGCTCAGGCCTGTCATCCCAGCACTTTGGGAGGCTGAGACGGGCGGATCACGAGGTCAGGAGATCGAGACCATCCTGGCTAACACGGTGAAACCCTGTCTCTACTGAAAATACAAAAAATTAGCCGGGCGCCTGTAGTCCCAGCTACTCGGGAGGCTGAGGCAGGAGAATGGCATGAACCTGGGAGGCGGAGCTTGCAGCGAGCAGAGATCGTGCCACTGCACTCCAGCCTGGGTGACAGAGCGAGACTCCGTCTAAAAAAAAAAAATAAAGAGGTTTTGTTTGCCAGCCGGGCACAGCAGCTCACGACTGCAATCCCAACACTTTGGGAGGCTGAGGGGGGCAGATCACAAGGTCAGGAGTTCAAGACCAGACTGGCCAACATGATGAAACCCCGTCTTTACTAAAAATACAAAAACTAGCTGGGCATGGTGGCGGGCGCCTGTAGTCCCAGCTACTCGGGAGGCTGAGGCAGGAGAATGGCGTGAACCCGGGAGGCGGAGGTTGCGGTGAGCCGAGATCGTGCCACTGCACTCCAACGCGGATGACAGTGTGAGACTCCATCTCAAAAAAAAAATAAGAGGTTCTGCTGCTGGGTGTGGGTTCTGCGGACCAGGTGTGGGTTCTGTGTAGGTTCTGCAGGCCCGGTGTAGAGGCTTACATCTGTGATCCCAGTACTGTGAGAAGCTGAGGTGGGCGACTCACGCCTGTAATCCTAGTATGTTGAGTTGGCCAGGTGTGGAGGCTCACGCCTGTAATCCCAGTACTTTGAGACACTGAGGTGGGAGGATCGCTTGAGCCCAGGAGTTCAAAACCAGCCTGGGCAATATAGTGAGACCGTATCACTACAAAAAAAATTTTTTTGAATTCACCAAGCGTGGTGGCACATGCCTGTAGTCCCACCTACTCGAGAAGCTGCGATAGGATCACCTGAGCCTGGTAGATTGAGGCTGCAGTGAGCCAAGATCGCACTATTGCACTCCAGCCTGCATGACAGAGTAAGACCCTGTCTCAAACAAAACTAAACTAAACAGGTTCTGTTGCTGCTGAGCTTTCAACAGGAGACGGGACTTTCCCAACAGTCCCGAGCCTGGGATACGAGGGCTGGGGGGACTCAGAAACCACTGCAGTCAGAGAGACACCTATTTCGGTGGATATTTCTTGAAATAGTTAAGTGGCCTCCAATACAAACTCCCAGTTCCCAGAAAAGACTTAAAACTAGTATCTGGAGAGTCCAAGTCCTTTAAAAGGATTTTAGCTGATCTGCCGGCATCTGGAGGTTAGCCTGGGGTTTTGGCTGGATTCCACCTCACTCGATGATGATAGTCTGTTTCCCTGGAACATTCCTGTGGTTTTAGTAGTAATGAGATGTGTGCACCACTCCAGTGGGAGCTGAAACTCTTAGTAGTTACACTGTAATTGAAAAATAATTGTAAAACAAGGAATCAGTAAGGCGGCTTACCTCCAGAGACACCGGGTTCCACTTACGGCATCTAGCTTCCCCGAATCCTTTGTGAAAATCGGTGGAGTGTAAATTGTGACTAGAGAAGTGAATATGGAGCCATTGTATTGAGCAGTTTCCTCCAGGGATGGCGGTTCTCAGTGTGTTTCCTGCCAGTTTTCCAGTCCTTATTCTCTGCCCTTCCTTCTAAACTCCTGGCAGAGTCACTAACCAAACGCTAATAAAATCAAACTTGTAGTAAAGACTTTATAACACATATGCCTCCTTCTAAGTTTTGTTGTTGTTGTTGTTGTTGTTTTTGAGATGGAGTTTTGCTGTTGTTGCCCAGGCTGGAGTGCAATGGCGTAATCTCGGTTCACCACAACCTCCACCTCCCAGGTTCAAGCATTTCTCCTGCTTCAGCCTCCCAAGTAGCTGGGATTACAGGCATGTGCCACCACGCCCGGCTAATTTTGTATTTTTAGTAGAGACAGGGTTTCTCCATGTTTACCAGGCTGGTCTCGAACTCCCAACCTTAGGTGATTCAGCCTCTCAAAGTGCTGGGATTACAGGTGTGAGCCCGGCCTTTTTTTTTTTTTTTTTTTTTTTTTTTTTTTTTTTTTTTTTTTTTTTTGAGACAGAGTCTCTGTCACCCAGGCTAGAGTACAGTGGCACAATCTTGGCTCACTGCAACCTCCACCTCCCAGGTTCAAACGATTCTCCTGCCTCAGCCTCCCTAGCAGCAGGGATTACAGGCATGCGCCACCACACCCAGCTAATCTTGTATTTTTAATAAAGACAGGGTTTTTCCATGTTGGCCGGGCTGGTCTTGAGCTCCCGACCTCAGGTGTGCCATCTGCGTTGGCCTCCCACAGTGCTGGGATTCCAGGCGTGAGCCACCATGCCCGGCCCTGAGTTCTTCTCTTTGTTGTCAAACCTAAAGAGACTCCTTTTCTCTACCAGACCTTTCCAAGCTGGCGAGTCGAATACAGACCGTATGAGAACCGGGGCTGCAGGGGATTCGTTGCTGTTTGTGGTTTACATTTTAAGAGACCGAGGGTAGGGATGACGGCTCCCTTCCACCAGGATGTGTAGCAATAGCCCAACCCCATTCCAGTCAGAAGGGTACGGGGTTCCCTAGGTCGGAACCCTGGTTGCTGTGTTACCACTGGTGACCAAGTAGCTCAGGTGCATTCGTGGAAAAGAATGCCAGATCCACGCCGCTGCTCAGAGCTCCCCCACCCTGAGCGTGCCCAAAAAGTGCCCGCCGGTGGCCATTGTATTATGATCAGGAAATCAGTAGCCCCAGAGATACCTGGCAATAGCTTTTTGGGAATCTGGAATACAATTAGCACTCAAACATCTGTAGAACGAAGGGCCCCAGAATATTATTTCTCCTCCTGTCTAATACTCTGTGGCAAGGGAGAGGACAGTGACTTTTTTTGGTAGAGCTTTTTCAAGAAAAAAAAAAAAAAGTCCTATGGACAGTTCGGTAGATATTCTACTTCAAACACTGGGCATGTTTCATGTTCCTCAAAAAGCCCAGTTATACTTTGGGTTTTTTGTTGTTGTTTTTTGAGACGGAGTTTCACTCTTGTCGCCCAGACTGGAGGGCAATGGCATGATCTTGGCCCACTGCAACCTCCACCTCCCGGGTTCAAGCGATTCTCCTCCCTCAGCCTCCCGACTAGCTGGGATTATGGGCATGCACCACCATACCCTGCTAATTTTGTATTTTTAGTAGAGACGGGGTGTGTCCATGTTGATCAGGTTGGTCTTGAACTCCCAACCTCAGGTGATCCGCCCGCCTCGGCCTTCCGAAATGCTGGGATTACAGCCGTGAGCCACCGCATCCGGCTGTACTTTGTAAAATAGGCATACCTCCTTACAAAGAATATGTTTAGAATCTTTACATATCGGGTCTGTTTACTGTGTCCTTGAAAGCTTTCTTTAAATGATTTATACAATAACAATTTCCTTAAGTTACAGATGGCCTCTCTTACCTCTCCGTGTGTTGTTTACAAGCGTGCTTCAGTGATTATGGGGGCAGGAAATGGCCACCCGGGAGGATCGCAGATCCTAGTACCGAAACACCCCCAGAGCAGAGAAGCTGTCCCTGCATTATCCAACACAGGCACCTTAAAGTTCTTATAAACGGTGACTTTCTGCAGCATTTAGATAAAACCAGGCTAGAAGCAGAGGACCACCAAATTCCTAAAGAGCAGCTTCTCTTCATATGATACTTAGCATAGCTCAAAATAGGAGGAGGAACAAAGTAGCAAGTTAAGGATAAAGCTCTTTTATTGTATGCATTGAAACCTTACGGGGGCAGCTTCGTGTCCTGTGGAATCTGCTGTCCCTCTGGGGTTTCCTTCTAGGGCACTGGAATGTTAAACTGGGGTATTAGGTGCCTCTGGGGTCCAGAATCTTGCCAATGAAGAGAAGGGCCCCTGTGTCCGTGTCCCTCAGGACGAAGATGAAAGGCTGGTTAAGGTGATAGTCCAGCAGGAAGGTGAGGTGGGCAGGCTGCAGCCCCGGGCTGGGGGTGGCTCCCGCCCCGTCCTCGTTCCACTCGAAGCCGGCCCGGTGTTCCACTTGAGTCAGCTTGATGGGTTTGCCTGTGATCTTGCTAAAGTCTGGTGAATCAAACAAGGACTGCAGCTCTGTAGAGATGGAGAGAGATTTCCGTTAAAACCTCGCCTTCCCCAACACTCTGACCAAGGGATCCAGTTGCGAGCAAGCTGGGATGGCGCGCCACTGCTGACTTTCTGGGAGGCCTCAAGAGCTCAGAGCTGGCCGAGGGTGGAGCGACTTGCCCAGAAGCGCTTAGCAAGTTAGGTCAAGATGAGAAAACAGGTCAGACAGACTCGTCTTGAGAGGCAGTGTCGTGAGCGCCTGTGAAGGAGGTCTGCTCGTGAGGCTGAGGAATGAGTCTGATGAAAGAAGGCAGTTCGGCCTTCGCTTCCGGCAGGACGAGGATTAAGGAATCATCCATGGCGCCTGCGAGGCCGTGGAGCCCTGAGTTCTGCTCAGCAAAGTGGAAGGCCCGAAGTCCCCGGCCCGCCCCACCCACCAAAAGCAAAAGGGTCTCCAGACATACTCATCTCCTGCAGGGACTTCGTGACTTCGCCTTCGTAACTCAGCTTCAGCTTGGGGAGGGTCAGGACCGCCTGCACGGTCTTCAGTTCCCGGTCTATGTCGTGAATGAACTCGGACGTGAGGCTCTCCTCTATCAGGGTCAGATTCTGGGTCACTTTGAGGGGCAGGAAGAAGATGACACTCACGCTTCCGGTCAGGGGCAGCTGGGCGATCTGAGACAGGCGAGAAAGCAGGTGGGTTAGTCCTTTAGAGGCCAAAAGCCGGGAACAGACAGCCAGGAGCTGTCTTCCTCTCCCGTGGTGGGGCCCTGGCCTCGTCCTTCCCCCAGCCCCTCAGCTATTTAACAATCCCCCTCTAGGTTAGAGCTTTCTGGCAGCAAGCCGTCGCCTGAGATTTCTTCAGAAAGGAGGCTGTTGGCCTTTCTTACCTTGGCCTAATACCAACTGAAGTTATCTGCTGAAAGAATGTTCTCCTGTGGTTTAAGGAGCTAGAATTGAATTTCAGGTCCTTATTTTCTCCCAAAGTCCATCTGCCAACATTGACTGATCGTTTGTTAGGTAGAGAGCACTGGACTAAGACAGGGAGAACCGGGGATAGGAATACCGAAGGGGCCATAAGAGGGCTTGGAGACTCCACCCCATCTACCCACCAAGAGCAAAATCGTCCTTTGAACAGAGGCTCTCAACCTACAGTCCATGGAACAGATGGTGTCAGGGTCCCAAGAGTCTCCTGAAATCGTTGATAGAAACGTGTGTACACCTGGCAGTGCTCTCCCGGGTTTCAGAAACGTGTGTGTGTACACCTGGCAGTGTTCTCCCAGGTTTCAGAAATGTGTGTGTACACCTGGCAGTGCTCTCCCCGGTTTGAGGCACTGTCGTCAGATTCCCAGAGATCCCATGTGATGGCCATGACCCAACAAAGGTTAACAGTTACAGACTTACAACTAAAAGAAGTCAGGTACACTGAAAGCCTTAGAATGCCAACGATTGGCTGAGCGCGGTGGCTCACGCCTGGAATCCCAGCACTTTAGGAGGCCAAGGTGGGCGGATCACCTGAGGTCAGGAGTTCGAGACCAGTCTGGCCAACATGGTGAAACCCTGTCTCTATAAAAATATAAAATTAGCCAGGCGTCCTGGCAGGTGCCTATAATCCCAGCTACTAGGGAGGCTGAGGCAGGAGAATTGCTTGAACCCGACAGGGCAGAGGTTGCAGTGAGCCAAGATCATGCCACTGCACTGCAGCCTGGGAGACAGAGCAAGACTCCGTCTCAAAAAAAAAAAAAAAAAAGAATGCCAACAATTTGGAGTTTGTCATTATTTTTCAAAGTCTGGCTTTAAATTCTAGAAATAGGAGTCTCAAGGAAAGAAAGAGAACTAACATTTGGGCACCCAATCTGAGGGCCCGTTTCATATTACCTTATTCATCCTTACAACAAACCCTGGGAGGGTAAGTGTTGATAACAATCCCCTTCCCCATCTTAAGAAGAGGAAAGGCTCAGAGATGTTATTAACCTGCTCGAAGTCAAACAGCAGGCGAAATGTAGACAGCTGTCAGATCTCACAGGTCGTTTTATTCCCACTCCCGTTTTGCTTCTCTGCCCTCTCCCTCCACCCATCACCCACATTGCCCCTACCCCTACGGACCTTGCAGCTGAGATCCGAATCCAAGCCATAGCGTAAAATAGCCTTAGGGTCTGACATCATGGGGACCCTCACGGTCCTCTCTTCATCCAAGTGGAAATCCTCGAGGGAAGTCTTTTTGGAGTCAAACTTTGTTACCCACTGCCCTGGAATGAAATGAATGACATAGTCTGAGCCCCAGGAGACCAGAAAGACAGTGGCACCATGCTGTGTCCCCAAAGCGCCTTGTTGAAAATTGCCTGACTCAAGGGAGCTTAGCCATCAGGGGCTCTGATGCCTCAGGGAATAGGCCTGTCTCAGTGTGTGTGGTTTGGACCCCACAGTTATTTCCAGGACCCCAAGTACCCTTCACCAGCAAACTCCGATGGCAAGACGTTGATTTGGCTGACTAGGCTCTCTGGATTGTACACGTTCTGTGACAGCCTGCAAGAAAAGTAAACTGGTGGCCGGGCGCGGTGACTCACACCTGTAATCCCAGCATATTGGGAGGCCAGGGTGGATGGATCACTTGAGGTCAGGAGTTTGAGATCAGCCTGGCCAACATGGCAAAACACTGTACTAAAAACATAAAAATGGCCGGGCGCGGTGACTCACGCGTGTTGTCCCAGCACTTTGGGAGGCCAAGGTGGGCAGATCACTTGAGGTCAGGAGTTTGAGACCAGCGTGGCCAATACGGCAAAACCCCATCTCTACTAAAAATACAAAAATGGCCAGGTGTGGTGCCTCACATCTGTAATCCCAGCACTTTGGGAGGCTGAGGCGGTGGATCATCTAAGGTCAGGAGTTCGAGACTAGCCTGGCCAACATGGTGAAACCCTGTCTCTACTAAAAATACAAAAATTAGCCGGGCGCAGTGGTGGGTGCCTATAATCTCAGCTACTCGGGAGGCCGAGGCGGGAGAATCGCTTGAACCTGGGAGCCAGAGGTTGCAGTGAGCCAAGATCACGCCACAGCACTCCAGCCTGGGCAAAAAGAGCAAAACTCCGTCTCAAAAACCAAAGAAAAGTAAACTGGTGTGCACTCCTACGGCAGTGTCTGTGGGACACAGTCAAAGAAGGTCCGAGCTGGAAGAGACCTCTGAGGTCCTCTGGATTATGCCCTCTCACAGCTGAAAACGGGCCGAAGCCGAAGAGGTGAAGTAACTGGCTGACGCTCTCGAAGCCAGCAGATGGCCAAGCTCCTCTAGCTTAATGTGACCTATACTATCTGGATCCAGAGCTGTTCTCTCACACACTAGACAGCAGTGCTTGACGTAGGAAACCATTCGGATTTTCTCCAGGCTGGGCGGCCACTCTTGCTGGTGCCTCAGACAGTTACAAAGCTTTTTTTTTTTTTTTTTGAGATGGAGTCTCGCTCTGTTGCCCAGGCTGGGGTGCAGTGGCGCGATCTCAGCTCACTGCAAGCTCCGCCTCCCGGGTTCGTGCCATTCTCCTGCCTCAGCCTCCCTGAGTAGCTGGGACTACAGGCGTCCGCCACCTCGCCTGGCTTATTTATTTATTTATTTATTTGTATTTTTAGTAGAGACGGGGTTTCACCGTGTTAGCCAGGATGGTCTCAATCTCTGACTTCGTGATCCGCCCGCCTCGGCCTCCCAAAGTGCTGGGATGACAGGCGTGAGCCACCGCGCCCGGCCGACAGTTACAAAGCATTTTAAGGGAGAGGTTGCCCAACCCCTCCCCCTACCCCATGCCACCCAACAAGGCCTTATCTGAATGGGGCTGGCCCCACACAAGGCCTGTGGAACGATCTCCAAACACATCACCAGAGCCTAGAAGGATGTCGTTGGCCACCTGCCATGTCTTGGGTACAGAACTAGAGTTGTTGTAAACCTTGGAGACAACATAAAAAGGTGTCTACGAAGTAGGTGTATTATCGTCACGTTGAAGGTGAGAATATAGGCCCGGAAAGGTTCCAAAATGAGTGCAGAGTTCCTCAGCTAGTACGGGCGGAGCTGGGATTTAAACCTTGTCTGATTCAGCCAGCGCAGTGGTTCACGCCTGTAATCCCAGCATTTTGGGAGGCCGAGGTGGGCAGATCACCTGAGCTCAGGAGTTCGAGACCAGCCTGGGCATCATAGCAACACCCTGTCTCTTAATTTAAAAATAAATTTAAAAGAGCCAGGTGCGATGGCTCGTGCCTGTAATCCCAGCACTTTGGGAGGCCGAGGTGGGCAGATCACCTGAGCTCAGGAGTTCGAGACCAGCCTGGCCAACATGGTGAAACCCTGTCTCTACTAAAAATATAAAATTAGCCAGGCATGGTGGTGCATGCCTGTAATCCCAGCTACTCCGGAAGCTGAAGCACAAGAATCGCTTGAACCCGGGAGGCAGAGGTTGCATTGAGCTGAGATCATACCACCGCACTCCAGGTGGGGCTACAGAGTAAGACTCTGTCAAATAAATAAAATAAAATAAAATAAAAAGAAGTGGAGACACGCTCACCTTTGAAATACGCCACACCGAGAAGGAGAACACTGATCTCATCGGGCAGTTCCTTTGTGGACCTGGCGAGCTTCCCTTTCATCTGGGCCTGCACCCAGTTGTTGATCTCCTGCAGGTCCAAGCGAGGGTTGCCCGTCAGGACTCTGGGCCTGGTCCCGTATGACTTTTCCAGGGGTGCCACAAAGCTGGATTTTATGCGCAGCTCTGAGAAGAGGCGGAGCAGAGGTTAGCGTGTGAGACTCAACGACCAGCATCCCATCTTCAAGAGCCCGCCAGGGTCGGGTTCTGGTTTACCGCTCAGCAGGCCCTGACTTCCCACCCAGCCTCTTCTTGTGACTTGCCAGGACTTCTGCTGGCATCCCCAGGCAGTGGCCAGGGGGCAGCAGATTCCCTACATCATGCCACTGCCCTCCCTGCCCCTCCCACCATCTCCTGCAGCCCACTTCCGCTTTCTGATCCTCTCTGGGTTCACAGACCCTTCCTCCCCCACCAGTGCCAGGCCGGGCCTGAGCATATATGATGTATTGTTCAGAAAGAACCCCCAGTCGGCTGGGCGCGGTGGCTCACGCCTGGAATCCCAGCACTTTGGGAGTCCGAGGTGGCCGGATCACAAGGTCAGGAGATCGAGACCATCCTGGCTAACACGGTGAAACCCCGTCTCTACTAAAAAATACAAAAAACTAGCCGGGCGTGGTGGCGGGTGCCTGTAGTCCCAGCTACTCGGGAGGCTGAGGCAGGAGAATGGCGTGAACCCGGGAGGCGGAGCTTGCAGTGAGCGGAGATTGCGCCACCACACTGCAGCCTGGACGACAGAGCGAGACTCTGTCTGAAAAAAAAAAAGAGAAAGAACCCCCAGCCTGCAGCACGGAGCCCACATTCCTCAGGCAGCTCGGGCCGGAAAGGTGACTCACTCTTCTCAAAGACGATCCGGGAGGCACTCTTGAGGTTTTTCTGGGGGGCAGTGACCGTGCCAAGGAGCTCCTTGTAGGTGCCGTGGATGTCTGGGCTGCTGATCAGGTCATAGTAGAGAGCCCGGTGAATGACAGATTCCGTTCGCTGCTCCGCTCCTGCCAGAGACAAGGATGTGGACGTCAATAACTGCACACTAGGGCCCAAATCAAGCCCCCTCCCGGAACACAGATACTATACTCATCTTTTTTGTCTGCTGAGAGCCCAAGTAGGTTGATCTTCAAGACCATCTAAGTGGCCAAGGAATTTTCATCCTTAGAGATTTTCCTGAAGTAGGTTAAAGGCGTCAGGTCTGGAAGGTGGGAGTGAGGGGCACCAGTCCCTGTGCTTCTCCCATCACAGCCCTTAAGACTATTCTGGCCGGGCACAGCGGCTCATGCCTATAATCCCGGCACTTTGGGAGGCTGAGGCGGGTGGATCGCTTGAGCCCAGGAGTTTGAGACCAGTCTAGGCAACATGGAGAAACCCCATCTCTACTAAAAATACAAATATTAGCTGGGCGTGGTGGCAGGTGCCTGTCCCAGCTACTCTGGAGGCTGAGGCGGGAGAATTCCTTGAACCTGGGAGGCAGAGGTTGCAGTGAGCTGAGATCGAACCACTGCACTCCAGCCTGGGTGACACAGCGAGACTCCGTCTCAGGAAAAAAGAAAAAAGAAAAAAAGACTATTCTGTAGTTACCTGATATTAGTTTCCCCTGTGAACCCAGCTGTGTCCTCAGTGAGGGCAAGCCCGCGCCTGCCTGTTTGCAGTTATATCCCCGGAACCTACGCTAACAGCTAGCACCGCACCGGGTTGGTTAAGGAATGCAAGAATGTGCCTTGAAGTCACCGTGTCAGTCCGCGACCCCTGAGGCCAAGCACACTGGGACCCCCAGGCTGGGGAGCTGGGGAATCGTGTGTGTGTGTGTGTGTGTGTGTGTGTAGCCCCAGTTCCCGCCTGCAGGGCCAGGGGAGCTGGGGAATCTGTGTGTGTGTGCGTGTGTGTGTGTGTGTGTGTGTGTGTGTATAGGCGAGTTCCACCTGCACGGCTGGGACTCCCAGGCTGGGGAGCTGGCCGGAGGCTGGGGAATCTGTGTGTGTGTGTGTGTGTGTGTGTGTGTGTGCGCCCCAGTTCCCGCCTGCAGGGCCAAGGGAGCTAGGGGAATCTGTGTGCGTGCGTGCGTGCGTGCGTCGCGTGTGTGTGTATATAGCCCGAGTTCCCACCTGCACGGCTGGGACCCCCGGGCTGGGGAGCTATTGGGGAGCTGGGGAATCTGTGTGTGTGTGTGTGTGTATATATATATATGGCAGTTCCCACCTGCGGCTGGGACCCCGGGCAGAGGAGCTGGGGAAATCGTGTGTGTGCAGCCCCAAGCTCCTGCTTACATGGCTAGGACCACAGGCCAAGCCCTCAGTGCTACTTCACCCCTCCCTGAGTTCCAATGTCAATAAACTCAGCCACGTTTACCCAAGGGCCACAAGGGCCCTCTCCAGGTCTGCCTGGGGCTTCCTGCCTCTGAGCACTCACCCAGCGAGAGGGCCCAGAGGGCCGTGGCCACTATATATATAGCCCGAGTTCCCACCTGCACGGCTGGGACCCCCGGGCAGGGGGAGCTGGGGAATCGTGTGTGTGCAGCCCAAGCTCCTGCTTACATGGCTGGGACCCCCAGGCCAGGCCCTCAGTGCTACTTCACCCCTCCCTGAGTTCCAATGTCAATAAACTCAGCCACGTTTACCCAGAGGCCACAAGGGCCCTCTCCAGGTCTGCCTGGGGCTTCCTGCCTCTGAGCACTCACCCAGCGAGAGGGCAGAGAGGGCCGTGGCCACACTGAGAGGAGACAGGAGCACATTGGTCGTGGGGTTCATGCTGGACCGCACCCGGTACAGGTCATAGCCAAAGTTGGAGACAGCCGCTGCCAGCTTGTTCACCGGGACTTTGAAGAAAGGATCCTCCTCCTCCACCAGCGCTCCTGTGCTGTCGGGGTCTGGGGAGCCCTGGCAGGAGACAGGAAGTCTTGGGTTTGAGTTCAGGGACCCACAGAGACGCACAGCGACTGACTGTCTCCGTGTGGCTTTGTGTAGGGTGGTGGTTCTGGCCCCTTGGGGCTGTCCTTCCTAATTTTTTGTGTGTTTGGCCTAAAACTGGAATGAGTTTTCCTCCCTGATCATGCATGAGCTCTCTCTGAGGAGATGGTGCAGAAGAGAGATTCCCTGGTTTTTTTTATTTGAGACAGAGTCTCACTCTGTCGTCCAGGCTGGAGGGCAGTGGGGCGATCTCGGCTCACTGCACTCCAGCCTGGGCGACAGAACAAGACTCCATCTCAAAAAAAAAAACACTGTCAGCCAAATGGCTCAGACCTATAATCTCAGCACTTTGAGAGACTGAGGTAGGTGAATCACTTGAGGTCAGGAGTTCAAGACCATCCTGGGCAACACGGTGAAACCCGTCTCTACTAAGAAGACAAAAAAATTAACTGGTCATGGTGGCGGGCGCCTGTAATCCCAGCTACTTGGGAGGCTGAGGCATGAGAATCACTTGAACCTGGGAGGGAGAGGTTGCAGTGAGCTGAGATCGTGCCACTGTACTTTAGCCTGGGTGACAGAGTGAGACCCTGTCTCAAAAAATAAATAAAAATAAATATAAAAATAAAAATTGGGAGCCAGGTGTGATGGCTCATGCCTGTAATCCCAGCCCTTTGGGAGGCCGAGGAAAACGGATCACTTGACCTCAGGAATTTGAGACCAGCCTGAGCAACATGGTGAGGGCCCATCTCTACTAAAAAATACCCAAAAAATTAGTGGGGCGTGGTGGCACGTGCCTGTGGTCCCAGCTACTTGGGAGGCTGAGGCATGAGAATTGGTTGAACCCGGGAGGCCAAGGTTGCAGTGAGCCAAGATTGTACCACTGTACTCCAGCTTGGGTGGTGGAGTGAGTGAGACTGTCTCTAAAACAAAGTTAAAAAAAAATAACTGAGTTTTTCTTTTTTCTTTTTTTTTTTTTTTTTTTTTAGACGGAGTCTCACTCTGTCGCCCAGGCTGGAGTGCAGTGGCACAATCTCGGCTCACTGCAAGCTCCGCCTCCCGGGTTCACGTCATTCTCCTGCCTCAGCCTCCCGAGTAGCTGGGGACTACAGGTGCCCGCCACCACGCCCAGCTAATTTTTTGTATTTTTAGTAGAGACAGGGTTTTCCCGTGTTAGCCAGGATGGTCTCAATCTCCCGACCTCGTGATCCGCCCGCCTCGGCCTCCCAAAGTGCTGGGATTACAGGCGTGAGCCATCGCACCGGCCCCTCACTGCAGTCTTAATCTCCTGGGCTTAAGTGATCCTCCCACCTCAGATTCTCAAGTAGGTAGTACCACAGGCATGTGCCACCACGCCTGGTAATTTTTGCTTTTTTGTAGAGACAGGGATCTCACTATGTTGCCCATGCTGGTCTCAAACTCCTGGACTCAAACAATCCTCCTGCTCGGTCTCCCACGCTGCTAGGATGACAGGCGTGAGCCACTGTGCCCAGCAGAACTGAGTCTCTTTTATTTGCGCCCATTGCCAGCACCTGTCGAGTAGGTGTTTGGTAGATGAGAAATGAATGAGTGGCCACATGCCCTGTAGAATGAATATTTTTATCCCATTTCATAGGCAGGGAAGCAGAGACCGAGGTAAGGGTTGTCTGGGTTCACGAAACTAGGAGGAGGGAGGCTCAGAATTCATACTCTGACCTCACAAAAGTCCAGGGCTCTTGCCAAGACGCCCAGCTGCTCTTGTCCCTCAAGGGTGGGCCACCCCCAACACTCACCCCGTAACACTCATATGGCCCAGGCTTCCCTCCATGTGCCTGTATCTGCCTTGGCAACCCAGCTGTGCCCTTTCTGGGCAGGAGAGAGGTCAGTCCATACCCTCGCTCCCTGCCACAGCCTGGTCAGTATCCGAACCAATGTGTGGGAACATGACCTGCTCAGTGGAGCCCCCACTAGGAAGACAAGGTAACGAGAAAAGGTAACAGCCCGGCGCAGTGGCTCACGCCTGTCATCCCAGCACTTTCGGAGGCCAAGGCGGGCGAATCACTTGAGATCGGGAGTTCAAGACCAGCCTGACCAACATGGAGAAACCCCGTCTCTACTAAAAATACAAATGAGCTGGGCGTGGTGGCTCATGCCTGTAATCCCAGCTACTCGGGATGCCGAGGCAGGAGAATGGCGTGAACCTGGGAGGCGGAGGTTGCAGTGAGCCAAGATCGCAATATTGCACTCCAGCCTGGGCAACAAGAGTGAAACTCCATCTCAAAGTTGTTTTTTTTTTTTTGAGACAGAGTCTCACTCTGTTGCCCAGGTTAGAGTGGGGCAAGGGCACCATCTCAGCTCACTGCAACCTTCGCCTCCCAGGTTCAACTGATCCTCCTGCCTCAGCCTCCCGAGTAGCTGGAATTACAGGTGTGTGCCATCATACCCAGCTAATCTTTGTATTTTCAGTAGAGACGGCGTTTCTCCGTGTTGGCCAAGCTGGTCTTGAACTCCTGGCCTCAAGTGATTCGCCCACCTCGGCCTCCCAAAGTCCTGGGATGACAGGCGTGAGCCACCGCGCCCGGCCAAGACAACATCTTTACTCAGGGGGCAGCCCTGGACTTGTTAAAGTGCTTTGGATTTTTACTTTTTTGGGATCTTATTCTTGTCCCCACTCTGTCCCCTGAAAGGTGAGGCGAGACATGTTCTCTCTGTTTTGCTGCTGGAGAAACTCCAGCCCTGGAGAAATAAAGGCCGGAGCCTGGCCTGGAACCTGGGTCCTGGTTCCCGGCCCCATCTCCCGTGCTGCCTGCCAAGGAGGGGCTGGGAATGCTGACCACACCGTCCCCACCCACCGACTGACCTCCTCCGGGCCGCTGGCGGCGTTCTGGCAGCTGCTGTGCCCGAGGAGAGCTGCAAAGCAGAGGAATAGCACCAGAGCCTGCATCCTGGGGCCTGCAAGAAAAGCGCGAGGCAGCAGGCCGCTCTCCTCCCCCACTGCGCTGCCCCGATACCCCTTCCGGGCCACCCCAGCCAGGGCCCAGGGGATGGGCCGGGCTAGGTGCTTTCCCCTACCCGCGGCAGCAACCACCTCCCAGCCCCCCATTCTCCCAGAAGTGGACCCTCAGCTTGAAGGCTCATCCCTCCCAGCAGGGTTCTCCCGCCCCTCCCCCTGCCTCAGGGCCCACCGTCATACCGTAAGCTTGTGCTTTTGTTCCATTGTCTGCCTCCCGGGACCCTCCTTTAAACCTAAAGCTTTTATTTATTTATTTATTTATTTATTTATTATTTTATTTTTTGAGACAGAGTCTGGCTCTGTCGCCCAGGCTGGAGTGCAACAGAGCGATCTGGGCTCACTGCAAACTCGGCCTCCTGGATTCTCCCGCCTCAACCTCTCGAGTAGCTGGGATTACAGGCATGTGCCACCACGCCCAGCTAATTTTTTGTATTTTAGTAGCAATGGGGTTTCACCATGTTCTCCAGGCTTGTCTCGAACTCCCGACCTCAGCTTATCCGCCCGCCCCAACCTCCCGAACTGCTAGGGTTATAGGCGGGAGCCATCACACCCGGCCCCTGAACCTTTTAAAAGATCCAGAGCAGAGGGGCCCCAGCCCCAGCAGGGCTTCTCCACGTGGAGTACGGCCCAGCACAAATGTATACTAAGGCTTTGCCCTGGAGGCAGCCAACCCTCTCCGGTAATAAGACCTGGGGCGACCTCTCCCAGGAGAACGGGGGCAGAACCCAGGTCTCCTCCGCGGAATCTCCGGGTACCAAGCAGAGGCACCCAGTCCAGCACCTGCCGTCCTCCACATTCTCAAGCTCTCTCTGGAATTCTCTGGCCTAAAACCTGTGGCCTCACAAGGAAGCTCATTCCCTTCTCCCACAGTTCCCTTTCAGGAGCTCTTCCTCCCATGGTCAGGAGTGCAGGGCCTAGGGTCAGAGAGCCTGGGTTCACATTTCCATTCTGTGTCTTTTTTTTTGGAGACAAAGTGTTGCTATGGTGCCCAGGCTGGAGTGTAGTGGCTATTCACAGGCACAACCACAGCACAGCCTGGAACTCCTGACCTTATGTGATCCTCCTGCCTCAGCCTCTTGAGTAGCTGGGACTGCAGGCGCGTGCCACCACACATGGTCTCAGTGCCGTGTCTTTGTAGCTCTCCAAATCACCATTTTTTCTCTTGTAAAATGGAAATAAAATAACCTGCTATTAAAATAAAACAACTACCGAGTGCAGTGGCCTGTAATCCCAGCACTTTGGGAGGCTAAGGTGGGTAAATGACTTGAGGTCAGGGGTTGGAGACTGTCATGCGCGTCCGTGTGAAGAGACCACCAAACAGGCTTTGTGTGAGCGATAAAGCTTTTTAATCACCGGGGTGCAGGCGGACTGAGTCCGAAAAGAGAGTCAGAGAAGGGAGATAAGGGTGGGGCCGTTTTATAGGATTTGGGAAGGTAAAGGAAAATTACAGTCCAAGGGGGGTTGTTCTCTGGCGGGCAGGAGTGGGGGTCATAAGGTGCTCAGTTTGGGAGCCTTTGGAGCCAGGATGAGCCAGGAAATTTCACAAGATAATATCATGGCTTAAGGCAAGGACGGGCCATTTTCACTTCTTTTGTGGCGGAATGTCATCAGTTAAGGCGGGGCAGGGCATTTTCACTTCTTTTGTGATTCTTCAATTACTTCAGGCCATCTGGGCGTATACATGGGAGTCACAGGGGATGCCATGGCTTGGCTTGGGCTCAGAGGCCTGACAGAGACCATCCTGGGCAACACAGTGAAACCTGTCTCTACTAAAAATACAAAAAAATTAACTGGGCATAGTGGCAGGCCCCTGTAATCCCAGCTGCTTGGGAGGCTGAGGCAGGAGAATCGCTTGAATCCAGGAGGCGGAGGTTGCAGTGAGCCGAGATCGCGCCACTGCACTCCAGCCTGGGCAACAGAGTGAGACTCCATCTCAAAACAAAAAAAAAAAAATGTAGACTCTAAATGACTTTGGCTCCCCTGCCCTGGCCCCCCACACATCATCCTTCATTATCCGTTTATATACACAAACATCCACCCACACAGCACACGTACTTTTTGACTTCCCAGAACAAACTGGATCCGAAAATTAGGGAAGATACTGTGTGATTGTTGGCTCTAGTCCTTAAAATTAAATCTGATAATCCACTGGACAATATCGTGGGAGGTGAAAGAAGACTGCCTTTGAGTTTACTCAGCTTAAGGCGGGACTGGCAGAGGAAGCCGCCTGGCTTTCTTTCTAAACCCCGCCTGGAGAGAGCCCCGCAGACCCCCGCGTTCCCAGCCAGCTGCTCTGGCACGTGGCTGCCCTGACATGCAGGGAGAAAGCTTTCGTGTAGACAACAGGAAAAGCTTTCTGCAGCGCAAGACAGAGGCCTCACCACCATCCAGCCTGTCTCCACCCGCCTCGGGCCAGCCCCAGGCAGCTGCCAGGAGCCTGCCTGCCCCGAGCCTCTCCAAACTGGTTTATTAGAGACCAAAAATTCTGCGAGGTACACAGGAGGCAAGGCTAGAAGAGAAGTTGTTATCTCTAGTTCCTCTGGCCCAAGTAAGAAATTAAGGGAGAAGACAGGCTCATCCCGGCATAGTTTATTATTATTATTATTTTTTTTTTTTTGAGACAGAGTCTGGCTCTGTCGCCCAGGCTGGAGTGCAGCGGCGCCATCTCGGTTCACTGCAAGACCATCTCGGTTCACTGCAAGCTCTGCCTCCCGGGTTCACGCCATTCTCCTGCCTCAGCCTCCTGAGTAGCTGGGACTACAGGCACCTGCCACTTCGCCCGGCTAATTTTTTTGTATTTTTAGTAGAGACGGGGTTTCACCATGGTCTCAATCTCCTGACCTCATGATCCGCCTGCCTCTGCCTCCCAAAGTGCTGGGATTACAGGCTTGAGCCACCACGCCCGGCTAGTTTATTTTTTTTTTTTTGAGACAGAGTTTCACTCTTGTCGCCCAGGCTGGAGTGCAGTGGCGCGATCTCAGCTCACTGCAACTTCTGCCTCCCGGGTTCAAGCGATTCTCCTGCCTCAGTCTCCTGAGTAGCTGGGATGACAGGTGCCCGCCACCACACCTGGTTAATTTTTGTTTTAGTAGAGATGGGGTTTCACCATGTTAGCCAGGCTGGTCTCAAATCCTGACCTCGGGTGATCTGCCGGCATCCCAAAGTGCCAGGATTACAGGCGTGAGCCACCACCCCTGGCCATTCTCCTGGCATAGTATTTAAGGAAACGAAAGTCACAATTCAAATGAAGGAGGGACTTTAGTCTTAGTCCTTACAGAATCTAAGCCCAAACCCCAGATCAGGTGACAGATGATCGTCACAATGTGGGTAGGCGGAGGTGAGGTGAGGCAGCCTGGCAGGGAAGGGACCCGGGTCCAAAGGTGGCCCCCAGCTAGACACAGGGACCCGGAGGATTAAGGGCAAGTCTGAAACCTCCACTTCAGGCCATCTAGATAAGGGAAGAGGAGAGATGATTGAAAACCCTACAAGGGCAGTGAGAGGGCAGAGCGTGGGGGTCTACATGGGCGCCCCTCAGCGCACACGCAATGCCCTGTCCACGGTAGTGGTTCCTGGGCTGAGCAGGCGACCGCTGGCTGGCTGTGGCCACAGGCAATGATGCCATCCTGTCCAAAGAGCAGTATCCAAGCCCCACTCCTGTCCTAGCAGGCGGGGGAGGGCTCAGGGAGCAGTAGATACCCTCCCTGCTGGGCCAAGGTCAGGCCTTATTTTCTCACAATTGCCCACATCAAGAAACACAGAAACTGGGATTTTTGTGATCTTGCCTCCAAGTTAGGCGGATCAACTCAAGCCAATACATGTGTTTCAGATTAAACCCAGTTAGGAGACAAACACCCTCCACAGCCGCCGCCTCCTCTTCCCAGAACCGCAGGGCCTTCGAGCCACATGGCGGTGGGCCTCGGAGATAGTGTGGGGAAGGGCACCTCCCCCTCCCCTGGCTCTCTGGAGGGGATTCTGAGGGGTCCTCCCTGGCCCACCCATGGTGACCCAGCCCCAGACAATGTTTCCTGAAGTTTTAGAACCTGAATGAGTCAGCCCCGGGTGCCGTGGAGTCATACTTCCCCACACCCCTGAAGCAGCAGCCCCAAGAATAGGACTCCCTGCTCCCCAACCCCACGGCCCCACGGAAGCCGGGAGCTAACGCCGGGTTAGCTAACACCGGGAGGGAGGCCTGCGCCGGACGGGGTGGGGTTTCTGGGAATCCCGCTTAGACCCGCCCCTCTCGGTGCCTTGCCACGGGCAGCAGAAAGGGTGCACCCCAGAACGGACGGCCTTTCCCTCCAGCACCGCAGCTGGGCCCCCAGGCCCTATACACCTGCCAGGCTAAATAGTGGTCAATATCTGCCAGAGGCCCCAACCTCATTGGTCTCCCAGCCTTGACTCACAGCTTGGCCAAAGAGAGTGGGTGGGGGCTGGCTAGGAGGACCCAGCTGTCCTCCATCCCAGCCCTCAGCCAAGGCGCCGAGGCCAGCGGTTTGGTTGTGCTGGGAAATTGCCTTAGCAGACAACACCAGCTGATTCTCGAAAAAGTAGCAGGGAGGCCAGGGAGCAGGGGCTGGGCTGGGCTGCAGGGTGGCCACCTTCCTGACTGCCTTTGGTGGGAGCAGCTCCCCGGAGCCTCCTTCCCTCAGGCTCCAGTCCCTTTGGGGTGCTGCTCAGACCCAACCCAGCAGCTTAGCTCCCCTTTCCTCCCCACGTCCGCCCTCCACTGTTTCCCACTCACTTCATTCAAAAGCCTTTCCAGCCTCTTCGGTCGGTGCAGTGGGATTTGGGGATCCCGGGATCCTGGCCTTCGGCCTTGTCCCCCCACCCCCCACTCCCTCTGCCCTCTCTCATCCACTCACCCTGTGCCCAAACTGCAGGGGCTGCTGTCTCCCCATTTCCTCTCCCTTGCACCCCTCTTCTCTGCTCCCTCGAGTGCCCCTGCCTCTCCCGTGTCCCCCCAGCCCAGGGAAGCCTCTCCCGTCGTCCCTGGCATCAGAGCAGCCAGGGAGCTGCTTTACCTGTGGATACGCTGCAGCTCCACACCCAGTCTAGTCCTGCTAAGCCTGCACACTGAGGGGGCTCCAGCCAGCACAAGAGCTTTTTTTGCTGCCTTCTAATCCAGCGTCCAGCAGGCTTCAGATTACAGCTACTCCTTTCTTAAAGCGACCTGCACTCAATTTGGATTCTGAGATTGCATCACTGTCTCGCGTTAACTTTAACCCACTGCTGCAGCTGTCCCTTATCCTCAAGGCACACACATTTACACACCTTCCTCTTCCTTTAGATTTTCCTTAAGGGGCCAGGCGCAGGGGCTCACACCTGTAATCCCAGCACTTTGGGAGACAGAGGCAGGTGGATCACCTGAGGTCAGGAGTTCAAGACCAGCGTGGCCAACATGGAGAAACCCCGTCTCACCTAAACATACGAACAAACCTGGGCACAGTGGCTCACGCTTGTAATCCCAGCACTTCGGGAGACCGAGGTGGGTGGATCACCCGAGGTCAGGAGTTCCAGACCAGCCTAGCCAACATGGTGAAACCCCGTCTCTACTAAAAATACAAACAAAATTAGCCGGGCGTGGTGGGACGCACCTGTAGTCCCAGCTACTCGGGAGGCTGAAGCAGGAGAATGGTGTGAACCCGGTAGGCGGAGCTTGCAGTGAGCCGAGATCACACCACTTCACTCCAGCCTGGGCAACAGAGCAAGACTCCATCTCAAAATTAAAAGAAAAAAGAAAAAGCATTCTCAGTATAGTGACAACCTTCTATTTCCTCCTCAATTCTTGCCCTATCACCATAACCACCATCTTGAATTTGATTTTTATTATTTTCATGCATTTCTTTTTACTTTTACTATGTAAGTTTTTGTCCCTAAGTGATATATAATATCAGTTTGCATGTTCTTAAACCTTACTTAGGTCAATGTATCACACTGCCTTTTTTTTTTTTTTTTTTTTTTTTTTTCAGATGGAGTCTCACTCTGTCACCCAGGCTGGAATGCAGTAGCGAGATCTCAGCTCACTGCAACCTCTGCCTCCCGGGCTCAAGAAGTTCTCCTGCCTCAGCCTCCCGAGTAGCTGGGATTACAGGCACGCACGAGCACGCCCAGCTAGATTCGTTGTTTATATCCTCACCAATGCTTGGCGTATTGTCAGACATTTAAATTTTGTCAGTCTGATGAGTGTGAAATAGATGTCCTGTCCTTATGGTTTTAATTTGCATTTCCTTGATTACTAGTGAGAATAAAAGGTATTTTCATAGTTTTTCAGCCACTTAGGATTCTCCTTGTGTGAACTACCTGGGCCTGTTTTTCTGTTGTTTTTCTTTTTCTTGTTGATTGAGTCCTCTCTGGATTGCAGCTAGGAATCTTCTTTGTCAGTTTTCTGTGTTGCAAATATTTTCTCCCACTGTGAGGCTTGTCTTTTCATTTTTATGGCAGGGGTGTCCAATCTTTTGGCTCCCCTGAGACACACTGGAGGAAGAATTGTCCTGGACCACACATAAAATACACTAACACTAATGATACCTGATGAGCTAAAAAAAACAAAAAGCAAAACAAAGCAAAATCTCAAAACAATCTCATAATGTTTTAAGAAAGTTTACGAATTTGTGTTGAGCTGCATGCAAAGCCATCCTGGGCCTCGTGCAGCCTGTGGGTCGTGGGTGACACAAGCTTGTTTTATGGTATCTTTTCATGGAAACACATTTTTAAATTTTAATGCCAACATTTTCACTTTTTTCTAATTTGTGCTTCTTTTGGTATCTTTTAAAAAAATCTCTTCTTCCCCGAGATCACAAAGGGATTCATCTATACTTTCTTCTAAAATGTTTACAATTTTAGGCCGGGCGTGGTGACTCATGCCTGTAATCCTAACAACTGGGAGACCACGGCGGGTGGATCACCTGAGGTCAGGAGTTTGAGACCAGCCTGACCAACATGGTGAACCGTCTCTACTAAAAAAAAAATAATAAAATAAAATATTACAGTTTTGCCTATTGTATATGTGTATTTGTATTAGCTTTTTTTTTCTTTTTTCTTTTTTTTTTTTTTTTTTTTTAGCCTGACCAACATGGTGAATCGTTTTCTACTAAAAAAAAAAAATAACAAACAAAAATATTGACAGTTTTGCCTATTGCATATGTGCATTTGCATTAGCTTCTTTTTTTTCTTTAAGTACACAAGAGCCTGCCTGTGCCCAGCCGATGCACGCCAACCCAGCCTCGCCACGCAACCCCTGTCTTTGTTTGGGTGGCTTTCTAGCTTGCTCTCTTTGAGAATAGGAGCCATGGATGTTACGACGTACAGATAGGTGCCTACTTTTTTTTTTTTTTTTTTTGAGACAGAGCCTTGCTCTGTGGCTCAGGCTGGAGTGCAGTGGCGCAATCCCAGCTCACTGCAACCTCTGCCTCCCGGGTTCAAGCAATTCTCCTGCTTCAGTCTCCTGAGTAGCTGGGATAACAGAAGCCCGCCACCAAGTCTGGCTAATTTTTTTTTTTTTTTTTTTTTTTTGGTACAGACAGGGTTTCACCATATAGGCCAAGCTGGCCTTGAACTCCTGACCTTAGGTGATCACCTGCCTCGGCCTCCCAAAGTTCTGGGATTACAGGGGTGAGCCACCACACCCGGCCTGTATTTGCTTTTTAAAGCACAATACTGTTTCCAAAAGGATACAAAAAAGAGATTAAAAACACTGCATCCTGCTGGGCGCGGTGGCTCAAGCCTGTAATCCCAGCACTTTGGGAGGCCGAGACGGGTGGATCACGAGGTCAGGAGATCGAGACCATCCTGGCTAACACGGTGAAACCCCGTCTCTACTAAGAAATACAAAAAACTAGCCGGGCGAGGTGGCGGGCGCCTGTAGTCCCAGCTACTCGGGAGGCTGAGGCAGGAGAATGGCGTGAACCCGGGAGGCGGAGCTTGCAGTGAGCTGAGATCTGGCCACTGCACTCCAGCCTGGGCTACAGAGTGAGACTCCGTCTCAAAAAAAAAAAAAAAAAAAAAAAAAAGGGGATACTTCCTTGACGCCACACCCCCTAAAGCCACTGCCCACTTCTCAGTGCTCCCTCAGAGCCACTCTGATAGGAGCCAGCTTCCTCTTATGTCTACGCTGCCTCGGCTCCCATTTCCTCCAACCCCAGGCTTGTGTCTGTGCCCACTTCTCCACTGAAATTCCTGTCACCAAGTTCATGGGTGACCTTGTGTCAACTGGCAGTGGACAGCTCCGTCCTTGGCAGGAGGTAGTAGAGAGTTCCTCCTTCTTGAAACCCTCACTGTCCACACTCTTCCCTTTTTCTGCCACCTCACACACCTTACCTTTTCTGCTTCCTCTGTTGGCTTGATCCTGGGACCCCTTTTCTTCTACATCTCCCCTTAGGCAATTTCCATCGTTCCATGACGGTATTTCTGTTTATTTTTATTTATTTATTTATTTTGAGATGGAGTCTCACTCTGTCGCCCAGCCTGGAGTGCAGTGGCTGGATCTCGGCTCACTGCAAGCTCCGCCTCCCGGGTTCACGCCATTCTCCTGCCTCAGCCTCCCGAGTCGCTGGGACTACAGGCGCCCGCCACCTCGCCCGGCTAATTTTTCGTATTTTTAGTAGAGACGGGGTTTCACCGTGTTAGCCAGGATGGTCTTGATCTCCTGACCTCATGATCTGCCCGCCTTGGCTTCCCAAAGTGCTACTGCTCTCGGCTTTTTTGTTTATTTTTGAGACAGAGTCTCACTCATGTCGACCAGGCTGGAGCATATGGCGTGATCTCGGTTCACTACAACCTCTGCCTCCCTGGTTCAATCAATTCTCCTGCCTCAGCCTCCCCGAGTAGCTGGGATTACAGGCACACACACCACACCTGGCTACATTTTTGTAGTTTTAGTAGAGACAGGGTTTCACCATGTTGACCGAGAAGGTCTCAAACTCCTGGCCTTATGATCCGCCCGCCTCAGCCTCCCACAGTGCTGGGATTACAGGCGTGAGCCACCGCGCCCGGCCCAGTTCCATGACATTAAATGCATCTGTGTACCCCCAAATAGACAATTCTATCCCTGATCAAATATTCAGTTGCCTGCTTGACATGAAAGATGAATAAATGCCAAGCACAGTGGCTCATGCCTATAATCCCTACATTTGGGAGGCCAAGGCAGGAAGATCGCTTGAGCCCAGGATGTCAAGGCTGCCGTGAACTGTGATCGCACCACTGCACTCCATCCAGCCTGGGCGACAGAGCCAGACCCGGCCTCTTAAAAGCAAAACAAAACAAAACAAAAAGACCCTATGTTACGGGAAGTCAGAAGAGTTCTGTTTCTGCGCTGAGCCACTGTGTTACTGGCAGTCAGGAGAAGGTTCTATTTCTTGAGCCGGTGATGGTTGCACAGCAGTATTTGGTTCATGGAAACAGTCATTAAGCTTACCTATAGTTAAGACTTGTGTACTTTGCAGATTATAGTTCAACTAAAAATTGTAAAGGAAAACCTCCTTCAGCAGCTTCGCTTCTGCTTGGAAAAAAATCCAAACCCTTGCTGTGGTCTGCGAGGACCCTCGTGATCCGGCCCCGCCTGCGTCTCCAGCTCCATCTTCCCGGTTCTCTCTGACTTTGTCACCGCTGGTCACACTGGCCATCTTTCTGCTTCTCTAGTGATCCAGGATTTTTCCTGCCCCAAAGGCCTCTGCCCGGGCTGCTGCCTCTTCCCCTGTTTCTGAACGGTCAGGTCTTCATACCATCTGTCTCTCAGCGAAATGGCCCCTGGAAAAGGCCTCCCCACAGTTACTCAGTATCGCAAAATCTCTCCTGTTTCATTCATAGTACGTCCCCTGTTTTCTGTATCTGGTCCTTTTTGTTTGGAGGTGGAGTCTCGCTCTGTCACCCAGGCTGGAGTGCAGCATCTGCCTGTTCGCTGCTGCATCCCCAGGGCTTGGTGTGCTGCTGGGTTGACGGGAGGGGCTGAGGAGGCACCTGCTGGACGGAGGTTACAGTGAAGGCAGCCAGAACAGAGACAGGGAGGGCCCAGCAGGCAATGTCAGGGATCCCAGGAAGTGAAGATGAGGCCCAGGCCGGAGCGCTGGGAGCTGCAGTGGAGAGGAGGGGAGTGCTGAGAAAGACTTGACAAGCATTGCAGGGCATAGTGGCTCACACCACTTTGGGAGGCCGAGGT